CGTGTTCCATCAAAACGGTGGAGAGCAGTTAGGGAAGGAGGAGAGTGCCAAGGTTTTACTGAGCTCCAGAGGGTCCCATGGAAGATTCCAGGAGACAGAGCGAGGTGGGAGATGGGGTCAGGGCAATGAGCAGAGCTTTGGGGAACTGCCCAGAAACACGGACAGCCTGGGCTTCCTGTGGAGAAGGACGTGACAGGTTTGATGGTCCCAGTCACATGGTGGTGGTGAGGCCAGGCATGTGGGAGGAAACATGAGGCAGCTTGCCAGGACGCCGTGTAGTTCCTGACTCTTTCGCTGCTGTATCTGAGAGCAATGTTTTCCTTCTCTCAGTTACTGTATAAGGGCTGGGTATTTGAGTTTCTATCCATTATTTCATGTCCCTGGAAGATGAGTCTGTTCTAGACATTTTCCCTAGTTCAGTAACCCTGAATCACTTTGTTAGGGCTGCTATAACAAAGTACCGCAAACTGGGGGCTTTAAACAACAGAAATTTCTTGTCTCCCAGTTCTGGAAGCTGGACCTCCAAGATCAAGGTGTGGACAGGTTGTTCCTTCTGTGGCTGTGAGGGAGAATGTGGTCCAGGCCTCTGGCCCAGCTTCCGGCAGTCTGTCTTATAGCTGCATCACCTCAGTGTCTAACTTCATCTCCACATGGTGTTTTCTCTGTGTGCGTGTCTGTCTCCAAATGTCCCCTCCTTATTAAGACATTGGATTAGGTCCCACCCTAATGGCTTTATCTTAACCTGATTACATCTGCAAAGACCTTATTTCCAAATAAGGTCACATCATAGGTTCTGAGGTTAGGACTTCAGCATCATTTGGGGGACACAATTCAGTCCCTAACACCTTGGAACCTGAATCATTTCTGTCAGTCAGTCCTGGTCACCTGCTTCTCCCTGCCGCCCTTTTCATTGTTTCTGATCAGAAAAGGAAAGGGGTAAGGATACCCATTCTATTTGCCTTTCTTCAGGTGTAAGGATAACAGAAGTCTCAAAATGTATTTCACCAGTTTGAGGGAGGGCATTCAAAGCTGAGTCTTCTGTACTTGTCTCTATCCAGTCTCCTGCTTTTTTCCTTCATCAATTTTTAAATTTTATATCAGCATATTCCTCGTTTGTATATTTTTGGTGAACCTTTTTTTTTTTTTAAGATTTTTATTGGGGAGTTGGGGGATGGGAACAGCGCTGGGGATTTGGGGGAAGAGGAACAGACAAGTTGCTGTCGTTTTTTGTTCTTCAGTCTAGTTGTGGAGGATGTTGCTTCACTGACCCAAGTTGGCACCATCATTGCACTCTTCCCAGGTGAGGCACATCAGTCGCCGGCTTCTGGACGGCCACTCACGGCGGCTGCTGGCCGCTCACGCTGGCTGCTGGCAACACACGGTAGCCCATGGCAACCCACTGCAGCAGGGGCTGCAACCTACGCCGTCGCTAGCGACTCCCGGCAGCCCAGCTCCAGGTTGAGCTGTTGTTCAGCATCTTAGCTGTAGAGGGCAGTGTCACTGGCCCTCATATGTGGGATCCGAACCAGGGCCCTCTGGCATCCCAAGCCAGTTCTTAACCATCGCGTCACTCAGCCAGCCCTGAACATTCTTTTTTAATTTAGTTTGATGTTAAGTGTTAGAGGAAGAAAATCAAAATTATCTAACACCAAAATCTAATCGTGTTTCCCAGCTTAGAATCTCTCGTGGCTCCCTGTCCCTTAGACCAGGGGTCGGCAAACTGCAACTCGCAAGCCACATGCAGCTCTTTGGGTACATACATGTGGCTCTGAAGTAAAATTGAAAATGAAAATGAAACTATCGTTTCATTTATAAAATTTTTAAAGGATATTATTCACATAATGGTGATTTCATTTGTTTTATGGCTCTCAAATAATTTTTAAATTGTTGTGAGGGACAGGATTGGCTCTTCCGTCTCAAAAGCTTGCCGACCCGCCTTAGAAGATGAAACCCAAACTCCTTTATATGCCTGGAAACGCTCCAACTTCCTGCCTTAAGCCACCACCCCACACACCTCAGCTAAACTCTAGTAGCTTCAGCTAAACTCTAGTAGCTTCATAATCCAGACACACTGTGACATAGAACACTTCCTACCTTTGAAAACTCGTTCACTGTGCTTAGAATGCCTTTTATCCTCCATCTGGGTGGATTCTCCCCATTCACATTCCACTCACGGTACCTTCCTAGCAGAGCTCACAGCCTGGCTGAGACCTTCCTTCTCCAGCACTGTAACATTGTGTGTGTTTGGCTGTTGAGCACTCATCCCATGGTCCTTTCTGACCCTCCTCCCCAGCCCAGTGATACTGTGGTCTCTTGTTTCAGCTTCTTTCTATCCCACCTCTACCATAATGCGGAGAGGGTAAGGGGATCTTTGAAACTTCAGGGAGGCACAGTTTATGACATCCTTGTGGCAACACTGTTCATGTGCTGTTGTCATCCCACTGTGCGGATGGGGCAGCCGGAGCTGGGACAGCTTAACTGACCTGCCCTAGGTCACAGTTCTGTAAGGGGATTTAAACCCATTCTTTCAGGCTCTACAGCTCATACGTTTTTTTTCTTACACTTCATGCTGCCAAACCAATACCAAGCCTTACATTGGACAGTTGGGCTTAAAACAGGGTCTTCTCTATTTTCAGTCTGTTTCATTATGAATTACAGAAACCCTGTGAGATAAAATGAATTAAATGAGATCACTTCTCAAGTTGGATTCCCTAGGAAACAGACTGAGATTTTCATGCAGGTTGACTGGGAAGTGCCCTAGGAGCGCACCTGTGAGGGAGCAGAGGGAGGCCCTGGGGGTAACCCTTTAGAGTTAGGCTAGCTTGAGGCCAGGGGCCAGTGCTGGGAGTCACCTGGGGTGACTCAGCTCCCCTGGGACTGAGGGCAGCCCAGCAAGGAACTCAGGCTGAGCTGCCAAAAGCCAGAACCGGAGGGTCACTGCCTTGGTCCTAAAGAGGCAGCCCGCACAAACCACAACACCCACTACAGGCAGCATCTGTCAAGGTGGTTCTAGAAAATGCTAGTGCTTTATTGTTTCCATGAAGTTTTCTAAAGGGAATTTAAAAGGTACAAAGAATTCTGTGGAAGCTCAGAGTAGACCAGACTCCGAAGCTGCAAAATAATTTTCTTCTCATCCTCTTGCTCAGTGCCAGCTTTCTGTGTTACTCTAGAAACTTCTTCCACTTGTTGCCATGTATACAATCAGACAAACCCAAATTGAGGGAAATGCTACAAAATTGATGTTTTCTCGTGATTAGAGTGAGTTGTGCATTTTGGGCACAATTACCTCGGGAATGATGTCCTTGTCTGTACGTCGTATCAAGGGGTCCGGGAGTTGACCTTTCTTTTTACTGTAATGACACCTTGGTCACTGGGCTGCATGGTATCTGCTGGGTTTCTTATCTGTAAAATTACCATGTTCCCCATTGTCATCAGTGTCTTGGAGGAGAGTCTTTGAAACTCTGCAAATCCCACTTCTCCTCACTCTCCCCCATTAATGTCAGCATCCACCATGATTTTGTTGGCAATAGTTACTACTGTGGGGTTTGCCCAACGAAGATTTTCTCTTTTCTTCTTTCCTTCTACATTCATTGGAACTCATTGGAATTCTACTCAAGGGCTGTCCCTTTTCCCCACACGTATTTATTTGATTTATATCAGTATGGACTTACAAACACTTGTTTTATTCCATGGGTTAAAGTTCGGTACCTTCATTGTTTTGTGACTCCTGCTGTTTCAGTTGGGGGCCAATAGGAGCTTTTTCAGGTTGACTCCTGTGTTCTTACTTCCACTAAGTTCCCTGTCCCAGTCTGGGAATCATCTCCCTAAGTCCCCCCTTAATGTCGATTGGTTCTGCAACTTGAAAGAAACAACATGTAGTTTTACCACAGGTGGGTTGATATAAACAAGAGTTGCTCTCCTATGGCATCTCAATGTTATAATGAAACGACGTTAAACATGATGTCATTCAAAGACCTGCTGTACTTGGATCCTTGGAATCCTGGATCCTTTGTTTTGGAGAAAATGGTGTTTAGAACCAAGATGTGATCGCTAGATGTCCTGGTTCCTAGGCGGGCATCACTGCTTGTAGGGCCTTTCAGACGGAAACACCAGGAAATGTGCTTGTATTCCAACCTGGAGTCCCTCGTAGCTGGTTGGGTTTGTTTGGGGGACATGTGACAGGTATGAGAAATATCACTGTGGTTCTAAGAGAGCGACACAAAAACTCTGAGAAGTGACACTCCCGCCTCGTGCTTGCTGCCCAGTGACCTCCTCTCCCCCACCCATACCTCACCCCCACCCCACTCCCCTCCCTATACTTTCTGGTTTATCCTTCCTGCTCTTGTTTTGCACAGAGGGACAGATAGGTGTCTATTTTCTTGTATCCCCATCTTCCTTATAGGAAAGGGAACAAACTCGTCTTTCTCTGTGCTTTCCTCTTTCACCTAACAGTATGTTTGGGTCACCTGATAGAGACCATCTTCCTGTACAGCTGCATAGTACACCACTGTGTAGCTGTTCCATAGTTTATCCCGCTACTCTCCTGGGTAGGAGCTTTTGATAGTGTATAATTACAAACACGGAATAATCTCGTACACGTGTTTTCATCAAGCTGTCCATATGTATTTTGCCATTATTGGAAGTATATCTTCAGAGCACAGTCCCAAAAGTGGGACTGCAGGTGCCAAGGTCAGTGCGTATGTTGCTTTGCCAGGTATTACCTAACTTGTCTTGAGGGACACACCACCTGGAATCCCACCAGCAGTGTGTGACTGTGCCTCGGTGCTCTCAGGAACAGGGTGTGCTGTCATGTTGGCATTGAAATTTTAGCACTGGACACAACAGGTCACTCTGGAAATCCTAAGCTTTCTCTAAATTTAGTTAATTTGTTTTCACCATTAACATACGAAAATAAATGGGCATATTAGAGGTTCTTTGCATTTTTAAATTTATCTACCACAATGAAGTGGGGTTTTTGCTTTTTGGTTTTTTCATCGTAGGTCTTGCTCCGTTGGTCTATTTGTCGGATGAATGCCATAACTTGTTGGCCATAAAGTTTTGGGGAGATCTTAATGAAGACATTATTAAACCTCACGTGTTAATTGCTGCGAGCAACCTCCAGTGGCGGCCAGAATCCAAATCAGGAATTCCTACTTTATTTGCTGGAGATTTTTCCATGTTTTCTGCCAGTCCAAAGGAGGGCCATTTTCAAGGGACATTCCACAAAATGAGAAATACTATTGAGGTAAAATTAGTTTTGAGCATTTCCACACATTTTGGTATTTTCCTATTTTGTGAGTCAAATATCAAAGAAGTCACAGCTTTTATGAAAATTGGATATTGAGATATGATGTCAGGTGAGTGTCTATCATATATTCATTGCCCGTGACCCTGCGGAGGTGGGGGATGACAGTGACCAGGGAGAAAAGAGTGACTTGAATGGAACCGAGTTAGGGACGTGGTGAGGAGGGGTTCAGAGCTGCAGGGTGTGTGGCAAACAGGAAATTGGTAACGAAAATAATGTGAGTTTCCTACGGTCCATAGCAGCTGGCAGTGTAATTAATAATAAGCAGACTCCAGATTTTCATTTTAAACTCCATATCTAGTGTTTTATACAGTTTATACCTGTCTTTGATTTGAAATAATCCCAAATAGGAAAACACTGAAATTATTTTCCCTGGATCACATGCATTTTCGCTTAAATCTGTATGTACATCATGTAATAATATTTTTAGCTCAGGTTTATTGAGCGCTGACTGCACGTCCCACCCTGTCCTAACCTGAAGCCGATGAGCAGCGAGCTGTTTCTCCATTCTGCTGATGGACAGAGGCTGTCACACAGCTACGTGGGTGGGACCAGAATTCACACTTAGGCCGTCTGAGTGCAGAGCCCAGACTACTAACTACTATGCAATGCTGCCTCCCTGCAAAATTCTGGATGTTATAAATTGCTAATAATCTACAAAAGATAAGCCTCTTCATTCCGTAGTTTAATCTTTGAAATATGTTACTCAAAATTTATATAAATAAAATCCTATTTTAAAAGCATGGGAGTAGGTAGCTGGATAAAGGAAGTGTGGGTAATATTTACCTGAAGGCTCCAGTTTCTATTGGGTTGTTGGAAAAGTCATGACATGTTTTTTCTGTTTTTCGTTGCAAAAATGCGTCATGACTTTTCCAACAACCCAATAATTGGGGATGAGGTGGGGCTCCCTGCATTATTTGGCTCCCATACAGAGAACCTACTATCCACATCCCAGGTTTCTCTGAGACCAGGCAAGGGCAGTTCAGAGACCATTTGTCATTTACGTAGTGTTTTCCAGCTTTACAAAATACTTTCATAAATTAGGTTAAACCACATTTGCTGGTATTTGACCATTTGTGACTTCTGAAACAACAGTTTCATGTGGTTTAACCTCTACGTTATTTCAATTCTTGGAACCGACATGAGGCCGTTCTCTCATCTTATTCCTAACGCAAGGAGCACTCTGTAGACACTGGATGGTTTACAGGAATTAGAGATAAATGGAGCTGGAGCTGGAGCTCCACCCAGTCTGCCATCTCTAGTCCAGTGTCGTGACTGACACCTTGCTAAGATCTCTTACAGCTCCTTTCCTCCCCTGATATATACACACACATTCCCCCTCTCCCTCCAACAACTATTCTCCCTGACTCACTGATGTTGGTTTTGCATTTTTGCATTGGCATATTGTTTGGCAGTTGCTGTCAAATTTGAGGTGGCTCATTCTTTTTTTCTGATCTGAATATTGTAGTTCTGGTTTTAAAGGTAACACTTTCTAAAAACATGAATGTGTAGGTTTGCATTTTACAAAACAGCTTTCCCAATTTATTTTCTTAGAACATTGATATGTTTTGCAATGATGCAGAAAACAAGCTGTTGCTTATACTTAATGCAAACAATGCCAAGTGGTCCACCCCAACTAAAGACTGCCCCTCAGAGCCGCACGCTGCTACAGCGGTCCTTGGCATAGGAAGTAAGTTTCTGGTAAGTTAATGTAAAGATAAGGAATTTTATGAGTACTGTATGTGAAGGCAGCAGTATATTCCAGTGTACACCTAGTAAGCATAGTAAAGTGTAATTTAACCTAATTAGAAAGTGTGGTTTATTGTTGTTCTGTGGCTCCTGTAGGTATAGGTTTTCTGGAAATTGTATCTTGTTTATTAAAGACAGAATATAACACTTTGGGGGGGGGCAAATTTTACAAACAGGTGCTTTCATTTTGAGCATTTCAAGTACATGTGATAGAAAAGACTTTTTTTGCCTGTGTCTTTTTGCTCAGAGGGCTATTCTGTACAATTAGGGCTGTTTCAAAGCTCAAGTTTGATTTAACTCTATCACAATAAATGCAAATCAAGTTAAAGTCTGTAATATTGGCCAATGACTAATTCTTAAGTAGCTGACACTTGCTAAGTGTGTCTATATTAATACATTACCTTCACAGCAACCCTATGAAATAAAATTACTATTATCTCCATTTTACAGATGAGGGAACTATGGCATAGAGAGGTTAAGCAACTGCCTAAAGTAACAGAGTTACAAAAGTAGGTATTAGAAACCAGGCAGTCTGTGTTGTTAAGATGGTTATCTTTGTTTAACCTGTTAATAAAAAGAAAGAAAATATTAAAGCATTACTTATATCCCCTACCTCCTTTTCTTGTCTTTGACTATGATTAGTCTTCATCCATCTTTTCATGTCATTTTTATATCCTCTTCTGTACAATTATTTCCTTCTGGGGGAATAAGAATAATGATATGAATGTCTCATGAAATAACCTGACCTATAATATTAGCCATTAGGGGATTGAGAATGTGTGTAGTATTTGTGTGTTTAAGCATTTTTAATGAAAAACTAATTTGATTTGGTTTTATATATTAGCACATAATCATATATGCTTTTAATTTGTTTTTCATTAGATGCCTTCTCCCAACAGTGAGATAAACTATCAGAGTCCTTTACCATTTTGTAAGCCAAAAGGGAAGTCTGTTTCCACACCTGTATCAGTCCACATGACTTCTAAGTCTGGTAAAGGGGAGAGAGAGATTGATGACCCAAAAAGCTGCAAGAAGAGAAGAGCCTTGGATTTCTTGAATAGACTGCCTTTACCTCCACCTGTTAGTCCCATCTGTACTTTTGTCTCTCCCGCTGCACAGAAGGCATTTCAGCCGCCACGGAGTTGTGGCACCAAATATGAAACACCTATAAAGAAAAGAGAATTGAATTCTCCTCAGATGACTCCACTTAAAACATGTAATGACATTTCTCTTTTGGAAAGTGATTCAATAGCTGATGAAGAACTTGCACTGATAAATACCCAGGCCCTTTTGTCTGGTTCAGCAGGAGAAAACCAACTTGTATCTCAGTGAGCCCACCGGAACGCTCCCACCTGTTCAAAAGATTGTCTCGGACCGAAAGGCACCATTCTGCACCTCTGGTCAGAGCATGGGAGGATTCCCAAGTCGGTACCAAGGGACTAACACGCAGGACATGAGGACAATAAGAAGTGTAAGAGGCTGCAAAGGCAACAGAAACGAAAATGACGAAAATTAGTTATTGGCTCTTAAACTTCTCAGCTTGTAACACACATATAGCTTCAAACTAAGCGTCCATCCATATTTGCAACACGAGAGGAAAAATGAAATGGTTCCAAATCTGCCTGAGTGCTTGCATGTCACAGGCACACTCTTTGCCTGTTTCTGTATTGATATACTTGTATTTCAGTTAAGTTTCTTAAAATTGTAATTTATTAAGTAATCAAGAAAAAAATCTTTACATCTTTACGACCGGATTTGATCACTACAAATGAAATAAACATACCTTCTTCTTTTAGATTGTGTCCTTAATTAAATGAAACTAGGTTTCTAAGTAGTTATTTTAACTCACATAATTCCTTTTAGTGTCGTTGCTATGTTAGCTTTTGTCAGAGGTAACCCGCTAGGAGCCAGTTCTCCTTAGTGCGTGTTGGTGCTACTGTAGTTCTGTCCTGATCCAAAGTCAGGATGAGTAAGAGAAGACAGTTCATCCTTAGGCCAGCGTGACTACAAGAGAAATAGAACCCTCAGTGTAGTTCCTTTTTATGATTCCAATGTGATCTCTGAAATTAAAGTATTTCAATTAAAATTCACATACTTTAAATCAGATGCAGATTTCACAGTGTTAATTTTGTTTTGTTTATGACCTTTAAAAAAAAAAAAAAAGTCAGTCATTTTATTGAGAGAGCTAAGTTACTGGAAGGCTAACTGATTGCAGGCAAAGGGAAGAGACACATAAGAAGTCAGGTGTGCTGGTAAAGAAGCCGGGGCTTTGAAGGCTCTGCTCAGCGAACACTCTGAATCAGGGTTTTGTGTTTCTCCACAGCCGCTTTCTCCTGGCAACTTAAAGCGACAGTCTTTCTTTCAGATCAGCACTGATGCTGCCTGTTTCATTTCAGTGCTGTCACAGGACTCACAGGGGCTCCCTGTGCCTCATTTGCTCCAGCCACCCCAGCAGAAGGTAACAGCTCAATTCAAGATGATATTCGCATTTGTAAAGAAAACCGAAAAGGCAGTTCTAACCAAGAGCTAATAGCACAAAAAAGCTCTTAAGTCTTTCAATATGTCTTAAATTTACATATAATACCATGTTTTCAAATCTATAAACACATTTCAAAGCCAAGAATATATCCTTTTATAAAGCAGTTTGTTTACTTTAATAACTGTGATCCATGATTTTTCTTTCCTCTAAAAGTCATTAACATAATAGACCGCTCTGCTTTTTTTTTTTAACCATGGACAAAAATGTATTTCTTCTTTATTTCTGTATTTTAAAAATAATCTTTCCAGAGTTTTGGGCAATTACCAGAAACAAACAAAAAAACAAACAAAATAGGTTTTCAGACAAGTTGAAGTTACAGATTTGGGGTTTTATAACCAATTAAATTTCTGTCAGGTACAAAACATACTTGTATCACTCAAGATGTTTACAACCAAATGTATATTCACTATGCTAGGTTCATTTTAAAATTAATGTCTACTACCTCAGTGAAAATTTGAAGTCCTTACTTTTTACATGGGCCTTAGTTCCTCATGATCTAGTTCTTTGACACAAAATAAGAGTTTTGTGGGCCTTGTTCCCTCTGTTATTCTTTTTAACTTAAGTGTTCTACCCGTCTTATTAATGAAATTTAAGTTTTGTTCATAAAAGAATTTGGTCTTCACGTTCTAATCACTTTCCTGGTGATCCACTCTTGAACAGGGAATAAAACATGAGTCTCAAGTGAACAGAAAGAACTGTAAGAATTTTACCTTTTCTTTTTCATCCTGGGAAAACTTAACTGCTGTTACCGCCTCCATTCTTCATTACCATTTAGACTACCCGGTAGAGAGAAGTCTAATGCACACACTCTTTATAAACTGTAAATACAGCTAAGCTATAATGAGCAAGGTATGAAGCTTGAGTATATGTGGATATCATATCCCAAAAAGTGACAATGATTACAAAGTCAACAGTGTACACTGCACAAGGGACAGATGGTAAAAGTAATTTGTGTTAACAGTCACTCAGTAAGAGCCTATTGTGTATAAAAAGCACTGTGCCAGCTCTATGAATGATGCAAATGTTAACACGAAACAATGCACATCATTGTTGAGTGTTTAAAAAATGATATAAATCAGTTGAGAGAAAAAACATCATTTCTAGGTGGGATAAATAAAGTTGGTGGCATTTAATCAGTTATGTTTATGCTTCAATACCAAGTACTTCAGGAGATATATGGGGGAAAAGAGACAAATGGACCAGAAAACCATTCTCCTGAGCTCTGTAAAAGGCCTGGCTCTGTAACCTGGGGCCACTGCTCCATAGCAGTCAGTCCAAGGACCAAAAGTCCTAAGCAGAAAGTCAGACACGAATCAGCAGGGTTGAAGCCTGACCCTTTGGCTTCTTTGGAATCAAAGGAAGGTAATTCCAGTTTGGGCTCTCAGACAGTTACTTGTATCTTCCTAATGGGGTCCAGCCCCGCTGAGTGAGTGAATTCTGCAACAGCCATACTGACCAGAACACACACATGACCCGGGCCTGCACAGGAGTGCTAGTTACTGAGGGGATTGTCACGGATAATAGACAATTATCATGTGTTGTGCTCGGACACACAGAATTTAACAAAACTATAATAACACCTTAGATTTATCCAAATTCACTAAAGTCTTTTCATTAGCCAAACTTTGTTCAAGGAGATACCAATTTTTAAGTGTTAACAGAGAAAATTACAGACACATTGCCGATAGTCATCAAGCTGTTGAGTGGAGTCAGATAATGGAACATTACAGTGACACAGTCTTTCTGATGTGCACAGATCAAGTAATTTACATAAGCAAGTAAAAATAAGGTTGGCTTTGTCTTTTATGTCTCCTATTTATTAAAGAAGATTGGTAAGTTTATGATATAAAAAAACTAGTTCTTACTATGGTAAAATTCTGTGGGATTTAGGCAATTAAATTTTTTATACTGTTGAACAAAAAAGGCTTAGATTCAATGACAAATGCATATAAACCAATACCATATATAAATTTTAATAACCATAAAAGCACCATTATATAAGACACTTAAACTAAGACTTCACAGAACACTGGAGAGAAGCTGCTGGCCAACAAATAACGCACACACCCTACATGGTCTTATCAGGATCTCACACCAGTAATCTGATTGCAACCTATGGAGACTTAATTTGGATTCATAACTTCAGTATTGGGATAAGAGGGACATTCCAGAGTTGCGGTCAAACTTCACTGTCTAAAATAATTCCACATAAAACACTTGATTGAGACTGCCCATCTGACAGTGAGTGTGGCTTTCACGGGTCCCTCTGTGGCCTACACCCCGGGAGGCCTCATTCCTTGCACTCCCAAACACTGGGGCTGCCAACTAATAATAACACAAATTTATAAGCAGGATTTTTAAAATTACTTAATGATTCCTCTTAAAAATTGGTGTTTTATAAAGGAGGCTTGTTTTATTTTCACTATTAGCACAACAGCCAAGTTTCAGGTTTAATCCTATTCGATAAAGTGGTAGTTAAAACACAAGACTATAAATAGTGACAAAATAATGACACTGATTTTCCTCAGTAGCTTGTACAGCTATTAAGTAGGATTCGACAGATATTTTTAACAATGATACATCACTAGAATAAAGGAATAATTTTCCAAAATGTCTCCTTTATAGGACAATATTCCCTTAGATGTACACTTTCTAGCATGTTCATTTTAAAGGAAAATCTATATCATTGCAGCCACAGCTCACATTTTTTGGATACACACATTAAAAAAGTAGCAATGGCACTAAAACTTTTCCTACCTCTCACGTCTCCTCCCCCACCTTCCAACTTTCCAGATGGAGATGAGTTCCTGGAAAAATAGATTACTTCAGAGAAAGTGGTACTGAAGCTTATACACTACAAACACTTGATTTCACTTGTAAACCTATGTGTTTAACGTTCTTGGGTTTCAGCTTCAAATGAATTCTTTCCCCGGAGAGAGTGACTTTGTTTACCCAGACCTGCACAACCCCCAGCCTCAGACCATGCATACAGGATCACTGTAACAAATGCCTGTTGAAGATGAATGTGATGACTTTTGCTCAAAAACCTTCAGGCTCGACTATTTACACTGGCATGAGAGCTCTAAGACTGAACCAAGAATAAATACCAAAAATTGAAGTAAAAACTGATTCCGGAAAACAGAACGCCCGTGGGTTGGGGCTCTAATACCCATGGTGACACCCCCCTCTTCTATTAAAGGAGCTCTCGTGCGTGTGGGCGAAGCTGCCAGGAGCCCTCCGCTGGGGGAACTCGGCGTAGGAGCTCCAGTATCCGGCGCCGTTGGGCGGCGAGGCATTGCTCCTGTCCTGGTTTCTGTTCATTCTGCTTGGTTTTTCTGCGTGAAGCACACTGTGAAAGGTAACATCGTGTTCATAACGTTCTTTCATTCGGTGTATTTTTTCTCTTGGGACTCCGTGAATGTTTCTTCTACATGGGAAAAAAAATGTAAACGTTTAGTTATAGCAGTCTACCAAGGTGACTAACTCGTGCTCTACAAGTCGTAGGATGACACAGATAGGCACTCCCTGACTCGGGATTTCACTGACAAAAGCATAACATCTCGTTAAGCAGTTCTCTTGCGGGCTCCACTCCTGTTTTTCATGCCTCCCTAAACTTCCCTGAGGCTTGCAAAGAGCTAAAGCCTCAGATATGCTTTGTTTCTGGAAATCTCAATACTGTGCTTCACGACATAAAAGAACACATGAGATCTTATTAGATATTTGCCTGTTAAGCATGCATATATCTATAATCGGTTTATTACACTCGGTCCTCGATACTTCCAGATGCTTATTTGAAACAATCTTAGTTTCTAGTGGGCATGAAAATCAACTGGGGCTATAGGTCCAATGTAATTACCAGAGATTCCAGCTAAGGAAATAGGGCTGCAAGCTAGGATTTTAACAACCACTTCAGGAAGTCTGGTCTCCTTGTAACCACAAGATGAAATAGCCTTATTCCTAAAACGTAAATTCTGATCTCACTGGTTACTTTAAATCACTGCACATTATCAGATAACACAGGTAATGCATATCAGAACCCATGCATTCAATCACCAAGTTAGTGTTATTTGGACATTTATTGCTTTATAAATTAGAAGCAGTTTCTGGTCCATAAATGAACCACAGACTGTTCAACATCTAAAGATCTGTGTTTAGCCTAAATGCGAAAACATCACTGACGTGCACAGTTCCATGCAGAAGAAAGTGCTTTTAAATGATCATTAACGAGGAAGGCTTTGAGCAGAATGTTAAATGTGTCTTTTTACAAGACCAAGTCCAAGCCAAGATTTAGCATTTAGCATTATATTAGGCAACTGACCCCACACTAAAGTCTTCACATTAATAATTCCAAAGTTATCAATTTCCAAGAATTACCATTTCTGGCCTGAAAACTACCATGTCCATTTCCAGCCTGAAAAGATTCTTTTGCTCGGTCTGAAATACCTGAAAACAGCAGGATACATAATGAGGAGCTTAGAAAAACAAAGAAGTACCTTGCTAACTCTTGCACGTTGAATTTCCAGCGAGTCTCAGGTTCTCGGAATATAACTTCATAGTTATTTTCAAGTGCCTGATTTTTCAAAAGTACATAAAACATTGAAGACATGGTATATATGTTTGGGAATGTTTATGCTGCCATTTAACATTTACTACAAATCTTTTCTAAAATTCCCTTTTACCAGTAATCCAATGCCTTAGTTTATCTTAATAAATATGGTTGTTCATTCCAATTCTTAGCACTATGGCTATATTATGGTTCCCAACAATAAATTTTGGTCCACTTTCTCTACAATGTAATAAAATTATAAATGTGCTTTGTTTTGGGCATTTTTTTTAATAGACAGGCTGAACTAGCTGTCAAAGCCCCTTCTATGCTGTATCTTAGACTTAGGTCTGCCCAATGCCGTGTGCTAGTCCTCATGCCTGGGCTTAGAGAGTGACAGTGCCACAGGGACACAGCTTATGAAATAAAAGTGACTCCGGCATACTGTACATACTCTTCCCTCCAAAAGCTGCTCTCCTAGCTGCGCAGGGCAGCATGGCCCACTGAGCTGGGCCTTGTCTCTGTGAGGTTAGAAAACTGTTACTGTTTCCATTCAAACATCCAAACAGCCTTTGCATTCCTAAATTTACTATGTTTATCTCCAATGGAACTTTCAATAATGAAAGTTCAATGAAAAGAGCTAAGTAAAAAGATTTCCTCTTCTTTCTTTAGATAGACATTTCCAATTGGGGAAGGTTTAAAATGTCATATATGGAAAATATCTAATTTCTGGGTCTTATTAATAGCTGTGGATGGCTGGAAAAGATTGCATATATCCAGAAAATGAAAAGTAACATGACCTCCTGTGAGCCACTCTCCGTTCCACCTACTGCTTGGTTTTGCATCGTGCCTCAATTACTTTACTCATCGTGTCCCTGCTCTTGTCTCTCCTCCATCCATGAACTGAAGTAATCACGAGGTTGGTGCTCGCTCCTTCCTACATTCACCAAAAGCCCACCATCTGGGCCTATGCCAAACTGATTAAAGTTTAAGTTAGAGAAAAGCACACTTGTATGTCAACTGTTTTGTCCCAAATGTAAAAAGAGGCCAAAAATAGACTGCCATGAGCCCAGTTTTGGAGATATTCAGTTGACAATTAGCCAGCTGGGGCTCAGGTGTGACAGCCACAGAACACTCAGCCATCTCCCTGCCCCTGGATGTGTCTGCATCTTTCCTCCTTCCTATACCACATAGGGAATGAAAACTCCCTAGCATAAAAGATGAAGTGCATGGGGGAAAAACACATATTTCAAAATTAAAAATGTGCACACTGTTGTACTCATCTTAACTGCTCTTTTGTATTCTGACAATAGAGAGCTGAGTTGTTATCTTTGTATGGGTATTTACATTTGTATTTGAGTATCTTAATAGGTTACAGTGTTAACCCTAAATCTGTTTTTGAACTAAAGACTTTGTTGCCCTGGACTCCTGGCAGCAACACTGCACAGCACTGCCCACCCCGGAGCCAGCCCAGGACAGCTACCCATGATGCCATGGGCTTGGCAGTGTTGGCAGGTGGCCCACCCTCCGCAGGATTCCATGGGTGCTCCCATCTAGGACTTCCCTTGGGAAAACCACCAAGACAGAGCACCATCAAAACCTGACCAAGGACGATTTAAGAATTGTACCCCAAGGCGATATGAGCAGGTCAGCAAATGGGACCCACTGAGCAGCACAGAAACACGAAAATGGAAACTCTTTGCCTCCTCTCTGTGAGAACCAGCAGGAAAGATGAGGTCAGAAAGATCAGAAACAGAGGAAAGAACAAAAGTTTCAACTTTCTCACACCATGCCCATAACTGAAAATTCAGAATGATACTTCTTCCTACCATGACTGCATAGGGCTTCATTTCCCAGGCGTGGAGGTTGGTATTATCAATAATTATGGGGGATATGCCATTCCTCATTGCTTTTCTTGCTGCAACACAATGTTATACAACAGTGAACAACATGCAACAATCAGACAGAAGGGTGAGCGTACCCATAGCTTGTCATGTTTATTACAGCATGTCCTCATTACATAACATTAATGCCACCTATTCCAGGACCCATTACCAATCATTTTCATTTTCCTGGAATCTAGGGAGGTTATGGTCTGGCATTCTGTTTGGGGGGAAAAAATGGCAGAACTTTTGATTAAAGTCCTTTAATAAAACTTATTCATTCTGCTACAATCTATGTGCACAATAGGATTTCCCAGGAGTTTGGAAAGGAATGTGTCACCTCTTTTCTGGTTCCATTCATGAGCTTCCTCCAGGAAGTCAGGATTGAACTCATAGGCACCATCTTCTCTGAAGAAAAAATCATCCGTGCTGAAAATCCGGGCCCTGGGAAAGTCATGCTGCAATTGTCTGGAAAGTGGGGAAAGATCAGACTGTTTTATGAATATGCATTGTCATAACAGAAATCATCTCCTCACACTGCCAACGTTGTACTTATAAGACCACTGGTTTTGAGTTGTTCAAATTCAATTTAAAAAGAGATAGTTATTGGGGCAGCCAAATAGCTCAGTTGGTAAGAGCACACACCCTGAACAACAGGGCTGCAGGTTGGATTCCCACATGGGCCAGTGATGCTGCGCCCTCTACAGCTAAAATTGTGAACAACAGCTCAACCTGGAGTTGGGCTGCTATGAGTAGCCAGCAGATGGCATGAGCTGCCGTAAAGCTGCCGTGAGCTGCTGTGAGCCCCGGGTGGCCAGCAGCCCGTGTGTGCGGCCGGCAAGAGCCGCCATGAGCTGTCCATCCAACAGCCAGTGACCGACTGCCTCAGCCGGGAAGAGCACAATGATCATAATACCAACATGGGCCAGTGAAGCAGTGTCCTCCACAACTGGACTGAGAACAATGGCTAGGAGGTGAGGGGGAGGGGAAATGGGGGGAGAATAAAAAATTTTTTAAAAAAAGATGCTTATTATCTCTAGAAAGTATCACTCCTTCCGAAGAGGCGGAAGAGGGCTGAGAGTATGTTGCCCAACTCTTGAAACTAAGAAGTGCTGTCACCACCACTGACTTCTGCAGCAGCAGGACTGGCTGTCCACCAACGGGAGGCTAAGCTGAGGGTGTGATGACAGTCTGTCTCTGCACCCCCCCCCACCACCACCCACCCCGGCCCTCGGTGCTGTCACTCTGTGAGGCACCAGAGCCCTTCCCTTCACACTAAACTCTCAGTTGCCCTGGGTCCCACCCTGGGGCTCTGTCCTCATTAAGAACTCATCTCAGAACTAGTTCTTGATCAGGTATAAAATGTAGATAAAAGGGATGTGAGTTACCCCATTAGGTAACTTAAACATTTTAACAGTGACATAAAGCATATATTGTGTTTTATAAACACAAAAGGAGAAGGAAACAGGTCCACCCAACACTCCCCATATCTTCCTAAACCTCTGTCACTCACGCTAAACATGAAAATATCATAGAAAAAAAGGAAAACTATGGAGTCCCCCCTTTAAAGCAAAAAAAAAAAAAAATTAAATTGTGCACAAAATAACTTCAAAGAGAAGATGTTTCCCCTTGAATCCTTATTCAGGCTATTTAGGGGGAGAAGATGCATACCATGCCGTGTAGCAACCGGCTATACCTCGGAGCCTCCTTTCTCCTATGTAAACACTGAGGATAACTAACATCTACATTGCTAGGTGATGACAGCGATCTCATCATGGGAAACCATGTAGTGCGACACCTGACACAATGAGTGCACGTTTCTCTCCCTACGGCCCACGCCAGCATAATTCTAACTTCAAAACAAGTTCAAGGCCAGGCTCGGAATAGAGCTATAATATTTAAAAGCTGGAAGGGAAAAAACGTTGAAAAATGACAAAGGGTAGGGAATACAGAGAACGTAAAGCCATTCCACTCCTTTCATTTGTTCTTCTCCCGCAAGAAGAGAGAAGAGAAGAACGAGAGGCCCCGAGCGGCAGGTGCCGGGGCAGCGCCCATTGTGCCCACAGACCTGGGTTCAGGTCTGCCCTGAGCAATCTCTCTATGCTTCTGTTTTCTCGACTGAAAAAAACAGATGCTAATCACTACCTATTAAACAGAGCTTCTAGCAAGGCACAGAGGAGGTGAGGTAAGGAAAACATTTTGCAAACAGCCAGGCACTTTACAAGTGCAAAGTACTGTTATTTTGTTAATAATAATAACAAATGAGGTCAAATGGACCCATCGCCATGTTTACATGCCCTGGGAGTGAAATCCACGCTGCTGTGTGCGCAATCTTGCAGTTGCAATCTTGCAGTTGCTGCAAGTGAATTAGAGATGAAAGAGCGAAATAAAGCGGATGCCTCAGTTTTCAAAAATGAATAAACACATTCCAGAAGCAGTAAACAACCATCTCTGTCAAAAAAATTGTGGAAGGCTTGACAGGATTTAAAAAGAAAGCAGTCTGGATAGTTGAAAGAATGATTCCAAATGAAATACATTCTCTTTTTTGATGGGGCTGTGCTGGTAAGCAGGGAAATTCAATGGGCATGATCTTAAAACTTGACTTAAACAGGAATCTGACTGTGTCTCTTGACGGGCTTGTGGGGAAAGGTGGACCAGAAGATAACGTATTTTAATATCTAACAAATATTAGGTAATTATCCAACTCCTTAAATATTTATTGAGCACTGGAGTGTGCCACATACTATGTGAAGTGTTAAGGCACAAAAATAAAATAAAGTAGCTGCTTTCAAGGGGTCCCCAGCCCAGACAAGGAGGCAGACCCTACACAGCTGGCCTAATGTGCTGATGCAAAGAGCTGGACACATGGAGCCCCCGAGAAGCTGGGGTCGCAGCAAGTTCTGACCCGGAAAGCTTTGTAGAGGAGGCTGCGCTTGGCCCGGACCTTGAGGAGTGAGGGAAGGGAGAGGAGAAAGCTCAGGCTAAGGGCGTGTTGTGTGTGAGCAAGAGACATTCAGGGTAAACAAGATCAAAGACACTACGGGCTAAAAATGGCAAATCCTATTGCAACAGTTCAGTTGTCAAGACTACACAACTGCAAGAAGAATTTGGCCAGCCAGAATAGGTCCAGAGGAGTGACCAGGGAAACATAAGGCCTGACAACCAAGGAAACCTGTCAGGTAAGCAAAGGTAGTCTGAGGCGTGAGACCCTTGAAGCTGAGAAGATGACAGAAGTGGTTGGCATGCGATGGTCACCGGCAGGTCCTGGGAAGTCTGTGTGACCAGAGGGGATGAACTTGTTCTGTGGCTCCGCCGTTTGGGTCGGGCTCCACTGGGCGGTTCCGCTGGTCCTGCCCCACACCTCTCGTGCTGCGAGCGGCCTGCCCACGCACGGGTCCCGGTGCCAGCTGTCAGCAGGCTCTCACCCACGGGGTGGCTGGCACAGACCTCTTCACTCATTTCCAGAGGTCATGAGGGGAGGCCGCCAGGCGTCCACCACGTTCTATTGGTGGAAACAAGCCCACCCACACTGGAGGGTAGGAAGACAGGCGGCTAAGAAAATGTGGCCATTTCAAGTCACCACAGATACAGAAAAGCGCAGGAGAGAAAAGTATCAGGAGGGTGTGATGAAAGAAGTTCACATTGTTCCCACGTCTTCTATTATATTTGACTTTAAAGGCACTCAAACTGAAAAGCCCAAATCCTAAATCCAAAGTGTAACTTCGAGTGCCATCAATTATTATAAAGACATCTTTGAAAATGTCTAAGGGCAGCACTAAATGCATTTTCAGGTATGTTATATTTATGAACACTTACACTTTCTAAGTTATTGTCATTAATACTATCTCGTCTACACAATGAAAGCTACGTTCAGAGGTTAAATAATAGTGTGTAACTTATTTTCCTTGTCTTTTATGTACTAAGTTAAGTAACTAAGGATATCGGTTCCAAGACTTTCGTTTTCTTTTCGATCCTAGATTTACTACTATTCCTTCTAAATCTGATTTCATTTTTTTTCCTCACAGGTGTTTTCTTGGTTTTGACCATTTCCAGAGTTGAATATTTCTTTTTCTACACACAGCCTTATCTGCTACTCTTGTTTTCCTCTTTATGGCTTATATTATCTATTGGAAGTGGATACTATCTGATGTTTCCTTTAAAAAAGGTTAAGGCATGACTGTCCAATTCATATCTCATTTGAATCCTATCTCCTTCTAGAAAACAAAAACAAAGCAAAACAAAAAACTACTAGATTGCAAAATTTTACCTTAGAGTAAAAGTTAAATCGCTCAGGACCACTGTGGGGCTACAGCCCCTACCTGCTCACCATCTCCTGAGACACATCTGACTAACATACATGGTCATCCTAACGAGCCCGTAAAAATAGGTTTTTCACCTTTACAGCTTGAATGTGGTGGGGGGCGGGGGGTTAGCCTCCTGAATGATGGCTCCTTCAAAATGCTGTTCTCTCTTCACCTGAATGTTAAATCAGCACTGGCAGCCACGGAAGCATCTTGAATACTCAGGATAATAAAAAGCTCTTCTAGGCCGGGCGAGTGCCTCAGTTGGTTAAGAGCTCGCTCAAGAGTGTGAGCTCTGATCAACAGCGGTTCGATTCCTGGCCCGAGCTGAGCTGCTGCTGAGCTGCCAACAGGTGGCAGGATGACTCAGCTAAAAAAAAAAAAAAAAAAGCCCTCCTGCCAAAATAAAGACCTGAGTGAACAGATAACCTTGAGATTCTCAAATTTCAGTAGAAGGAATAAGTACCATTCCCTCCGACTCAGAAATGGTGGGGACAGTCCCCAGCTCTAGCTTTCTTTATGGTGGTCAGGGCCTCATGCATTGGGGACATTGAGAGAATGAAAATAAAATAAAAGGGAAAAATAGAAGACAATTATTCCCACAGAACCTTCACCTCCCTGGCTCCCCACCAAATTCACTTAAAATCACCACTATGGGAAAAACGCAGGAACTAACCTCAATTTGACAACTTATCACTCTTCTGTGTAAGTCTTTAGTAATAGAGAACCATGGAAATATATTTAGATACCTATTAGTCACTCATGCACTCACAAAGTGCAACATTACTATGAAATTTTGAGTTGTACCCCCAATTTTCATTATGGGAATTGTCAAGCATCCAAAAGTAGATAAAATAATATAATCATTCCCCACACACCCATAGCCCAGCTTCCAATCATCATCATATGACTAGTCTTATTTTGCCTGCTCCTACTTCATTTCACCAAATATTCTGTCAGTTCAAATTTCCTTGCTTGTCTCTAATCATATTCCGTCAGTTGGTTTGAGTCAACAGCCAAACAGGATCCACGTGTTGTATTTGGCTGCCATGTCCCATATTCTGTACTTGCCCCTCTCCTTCCTATTTCCACCTGAACTTTTCCCCCACAAACATTCATACAGAGGGTGCCAAAAAAATGTTTACACATTTTAAGAAAGGAAAAAAA